CAGCAGGAAAACAGAGATGAACAAAAGGAAACTTATGCAGTTCTACAGAAAACATCTCAGGAAGTTCCCACATATAGGCAAATAAATTTCCCATCTTTAGATCTTAGTGTTTTACCTCCAAATGAACACACTAACCAAACTTGAGTAGGCTACACCTAACGCCTCAAGAAGCACAGGAAGGAACTTACAAAATCAACTATGAAAGCCATATACTATCACCAAACAGTTACAAGTTCTAGTATATACCATGCATGTTCTGAAATGCCAAAAGGCCTAAGTTCCCTCGAAAAATTCAACTGAGTAAGTTAATGAGCCATTTTATTACTTACTCCTCCTAGAACATCTATTTCTTCCTGGTATTAAAAAGGTTACGCCACATCAGATCTGTTAATTGGTTTCTCCTAATCGAACTGAGTTTCTTCCCCTCCTTAATTTGGTAATATGCACAAACACTGCTAGCATAAGCAGAAAAATCAAAGCATCAGTTACACAGTTTTCTTAAAACTGAAATCACTCACCAACTGGGATGTTTGAGGTCGTGACAGCTGTAGCATGGGAAGAATGGGAAGGCATTGTCATGGTGACAATGGTGCTTGTAGGCGCTTGGGTGTGAGACACAGAACCTAAAGAAAAAAAAAACAAAACAAACATACGAGAGCTTTCTATGGAGCCCTATCATACCAGTATTATCTATATGCAAATAAAGAGGGGAAAAAATCCCAACCCAGACAACCTCCCTGAAGAACTTGGTAATTTCTCTCCTGAAGTCTGCTCATGCTTTACCATGAATAAAGAATTCCTCAAAAGTAATCAAATTCCATCTTCAAGGAGGAAAAACAACAAAAAGCAACAACAAAAACCACATCCCACAACAGCATTATGAATACTCACCAGCTGTGGTTGCTGAAGCAATGGTATTAGTTGCCAAAATAGGTGCCACTGTTGCTGCTGCCACTGGAGTACCAGTACTAAAAATGGTTTTCTATGAAAAGAAAAGAAAACCTTGGAGTTAAAAGACTAGTACATTTAAAATATATACTTAGTATGGAATCATGTTGCGTTGACTGGAAAGAACATAAATTTCTAATCTAATACTAACTCTTTTCCCAAATTTAATCTTAGCCCTCCAGATATTAACAAAAGAGACATCTAGAAGTAAGAGTTCTGTTCTTCTTGCCATTTACCTGAGCCATAGTGTGGAGCTGTGGCTTCTGTGTTCCTATAGCTGGGTGAGAGGGTAGTGTGATCCGAGTAGCTGTATCCCTCGGCTGCGCAGGCCGCTGAATACTAATAGCTGCAGAAGGTGGGTGCTGCTGGATAGACAGGGTGGGTCGACTGGAAAGAAAGAAAAATAAACATGAAGATAACCATGCGGATGCTAAATATGAAAGATAAAATGCAGGGACACATCAGGCCTTGTTCTCCTCCTCTGTGAAAGCAGCATGGGAGTGCATGGGACAGCAGCATAAGATATCTGAACTACACTGTTCTGTCCTCATCTGCCTTACATACCCAACTAGGAGGGCAGACTTATCAATAACTCCATCAGTTCAGAAAAGACTTTTTGTCAGGAACACTTTTCAACATTCATGCATCATTTTTCACTGTGTCTTCATAAAAAAAGATGGGTTGAATTAGCCACAAGTTCCTGCAACAGAAACTGCCTTCCAGGAAGCAGGACTTCCAGGATTCATTAAGGCCTTTCCTTTCTCAGAACAGAGAGCAACAGTTCACATTTATAGCAAATTTTACTCAAAGAACTGAAAGCATTTACACTGTGCAAGCATTACTATTTTTGTATTATATCATCCCACATCTAGAGGATTACCAGCTCTGGATGATTAACACCTGTGTTTTCCCTTCCTACAGCCTCTGTAAAGTCAGAGCACTGTAGATTTCAAAGCATCTTTACCTGAGGGTTGACTCTGTAGCATGTGCTGCTGTAGTAGTTATAACAGGGGACTGAGCTCTTGTGGCTGAGACAGTTGCCACCACAGCAGGAGGAATAGTGCTTGAAGTTGTCACAGGAGGACGAGACTATAAAAACGAGTCAAAAAGAGACACATTCAGAAAATAAATTCTGCTGTTTAGAGAATAACTAGGAATTACTTGATTAAAACTGGTTTTCCTATATCTTATCAATAAATAAATGGCATTCTAAGAGACTTACATTCTTTCTGGATTGATCTGCAAGCTGCTAAGCAGATCTGTCCTGGTTTTTAAAGCATGTACATCATAGGAATCGGTAACAAAGTTAACAACACCAGATCCCTTGAAGGTCTTCAGGAAAAAAGGCAAAGGTCAGTTCCCTTCAGAATGAAAAGAAACTCTGATCCAAGTATTTACAGGAAGTCAAAGGTGATTACATTGGGATCCTAACTGAAAGCACGAAGTGGAGATGTTTAACCCTTTATCCTAACACTGAACACTAGTACTACTGTTGGGTAACGGTACCTGCAATCTTCTCCTTATAAGGGTACATACACTGAGGTATGCAGAAGCATATTGAGATTTTTTAAATTCTAAGTCAATACATATATTTAAGAATAAATCAACGTAAGCATATCACACCAGACTTCTCAGACTTAATAAAACTTGAATATACCTCAACTAAACCTTCTTGCCAGTTTAAGCACTTTGGAAACAGTTAAAAACCCAATTTCTGGCACTGAGTCTATAAAGGAAATAAAACCACAGGACTAATTCAACTATTTCGCTACTTGCTATTAGAAAATGGTAGCCAAGAAATAGAACTGAAAGAGAGCTGACAGTAGCCTCAGCCCAGTAAACATGCAATTACAGGTTATATATTACAAGTGCCAGGAAGAATTTGGAGCTGGTGGTCAGTGTTCTGCAGAGCTGCCTGGCTGCTACCTGCCTGGATTGGCTGATGGATGATGTGCTGAACTGCTGGCTGAGCTGCAGCTGCGTTTGGCAACTGTGAAGCTGGTCTCAGGACTGTAGTTACTTTAGAACTGGACATCACTGCAGCAGCTGCTGCACCTGGGAAACAAACCAAGTGTGTTAAAATACCGTGCAACCAAATGACTCCATTGTGATCACAGACAGACTCTGATGTTAGCTGGTACATATTTCAGTTTCAATAGATTTCATAAGCATGTCAGTTCAGGCAACATTGATTTAAAAGTAAGGCTTGCAACAAATATAAGTAAGGTTCACAAAAGTATGTGGGGAAGGGTAGGTATTTTTTAAACAAATTTGCTTTATTGATACTTCTTACTCCCCTCTAATAATCTTATATTGCAAATCCAGTCTTTTTCTATTCCAAGTTATGGAAGCCAGTAGAAAGAATTCAAACACTTGGGCTAACGTGTAAACAAGTTACCTGATACCAACAATAATCTACCTGGCCTAAAGAAGTTCTGAAGAAAAATACATGTGCAATAGAAGAAAAACAAAACAAAAATAAACCCCAACCAATTTTTAAAGCTACAGCAGCATAGGACTTCAGTTAATTTGTCTACTGTTGGCTGTCTCCTGATCAAAAGAAATTGCTGTCAAAGGCAAATAGCCTTCAAATCATTTGATGGACTACACTGCATAGCTTCTGTATCTGTCTCTAATTGAAATAATTACCTTGAAAGGCAATATTGAAGCTGTGAGAATAAAAGTAGGAAGGAAAAAAAAAAGAAAATATGCACTAAATGACAATGCAAAGCTTGTGGCAGCTGTCCTACAAGAAATCAAGAGAACAAAACTACATGTTACTTTAGCTGCAAATAAAGCTGCACAGTCTTTCCACCTGCTCTAGTGAAAGATCAAGTCTTTGCTCATGTCAATTTATTTTTCTTGAATGACCAAATAACACCAAATATGAAAATAAATAAAAATATAAATGGTACTTCAAATTCAGATCAGTTTAACGTTGAACTGGAAACCCAGCCCATAAGCTTTTTGAAAGTAAAACTGCAGTCAGAAATCAGACAAACTGTATTGAGCACAGGGCTTCTTTTAAAGGGCTGCTCTCGTGTTTTGTCAGCTGTAGCAACCAACATCCTGGGAGAGAAGAGCCCGTAGTTAGCACCAGCGTTTAACTCAAGGGTAAATGCAAATGCATACAATATGATATGTTATCATGCACAAAAATGCAGAAGTGATCCTGTGACAAGTAGGTACAAGAATATGCCTCACAAATTCTCAAGTGCCACTGTCATAGGTGAAAAACACTTGCTACTAAGACTGTACATGACATTTTGCAGGACAGGTCAGTCTATACCGGTGTATACTTTGTCTTAAAAGTGTTCATTAATTAACAGCCCAGAACCAAAATAACAGACAGGCTGGTATACGCCAGCATTTTAAACAGTGTCACTCGGTTCTGATCTAGATGTCTGAAGGCAACATAACACTTAAAAGGCCAGCAGTCACCTAGTAATGCTCGCAGTTTTAACAGCTGAAGTATCATCTGTGTTAGCAGTGAGGAGAATTTTTAGGGGCGAAGGCTTGATGCGCCTCCCCTGAGAGGCTGTGAACAGAAGGCAGGGATAACACAGCTAGATCTTTACCTCGGGGTAGGTGAGAAGCTCCAATATGTAGTGGAGGCCCAGGAGCACTACTTCTGATGATAGACATCTGCACATTGGTAGCCATGATGTGATGCAAGTTACTAGGATGCCCCTGCAGAGTTAAAGAAATAACAAAACCCAAAATAAACTCTGAGATGTGCTGACAAGAATTAATGGCCACAGTAACACTATTATCATACCTAAGCCCCAAAGACAGAAAAGAGATTTTGTAGAAATACTTGGTGTACAAAGCCTGCATGTGTTACATACTGAGTGGAGAAAGAGGCAGATGTTTCTACACAATAAAGTTACAGAACCTGCTGACACTGCATGTGGAAGATGCAAACATTCATCTGTTTCGCAGATCTATTTTCTGGTTGGCCTGTGAGAGTCAGGCAGCAGTCACCCACACATCACCTAGAGAGATGGCCCTTCTGCTAATAGTGACTTTTGAGGCATAGATTCATACCACCTCTCCAGTAAAATCGAGAGAATGTTGGGAACCTGGCAAATGCTGCAAAAAATTAAATCTATTTTCTTATACTTCTGGACTTTCCAGGGATATTAATAAAGACAAAAATACATTGAAACTGCTGCACATCCTTAGCCAGTCTAACTCAAACCCACCTAAAGGCACTTTACATCAAAACCCTGAGACTTCAGAGGTTTAGTGATGAGTGTTCTGGCAAACTAGTTTCAAATCACAAGGACTGGCTCTGCAGTCAAAGAGGGGAAAAAAAAATAATTCTAAAGCATTATCTACAACTCCCCTTCCTGCCCCTCAAATTTTGTCACTAGTGGTTTAATAAGAATACACTGCAAAACCATGAACTGTTCACCAGTCTCTTCTGATCTGCTCCCAGAAGAGCTAAAGAACACTGCAGTGATGGATCCCAGCAGTTTGTCTACACTAGGAATTCTCCACGTGATATGAAACAGCAGGAGCCTTTAAGGAAAGGCTCAGCTGCAGAGCAGCTTTTGGATACGGCTCTGCTATCACAGCCTCACTGTGCTACGTCAGTTGGATGATTACAACAAATCAGCAGCTTTCTAAAGAGCTAGTGATCACCGAGCCTGAGGTTTAATGCTCCAAGCAGAACTGATCCAACAACCAGTGGCCATGGAACAGGAAAGCCTGCTGTGTCTGCCTTCTCTCCTGCTGCAAGAGCCCACCTCAGTAGTACCAATATTAGTATTGATCTGACTATGCAGTGAGCTGGAACAAAAAAAACCCCAACAAAACAAATCAACCAACCAGCCAAAATAAAACACTACCACACAAAAAAACCCAGACCTGTTGCCCACTGATGGTTGCCACAGGAATTGTTGGAGCCTGTGGTATATTGCTTTCCATAGTCACAGTAACTTGCCCAGGAACTTTTGTGGGAGCTGAGAGAGTAGAGGGTGGAGCAGGAGCAATGGGCCGGCTGGGCATGGTGGGCTTCAAGGGAGGCTACAAGAAATACAAAGAAAGAAACATTGTCAACTCCAACTGACAGCTCAATGATAAGGCAGAAATCATTTTGGGGGGTCAAAGCCTGGAGAGAAAGTCAGCTTTGTGCAAGAGTAAGTATGGTTAAGTATTTGGAGAGGAAGCATATTGGTCATTTAGAGCTATTCCATTTTCATTTGGGACAAAGCAGCATGTTTTGTACTGGAAATATGCAGCTTCTAACATACAGCATTAGTCACAAGTGGAATCTGTTAGGGCTACAGTATTCCCCTACAGACACCGGGCATTAACAGTTAATTTGATATTCTCATCCACTCCTGCAGAGAAAAGGGAAGATTTCAGAAACTGATTGAAATCAGTCTTCTCTTAAGAGATAAACAAAAAACATTCTCCTCAAAAAATGATGCTGTGATACTATGAAGTCCTCAGTGTATCATACGGAACAGTTAATACCACGAGGCAGTACACGGTCACTAGAAGCAGGCAAGGAAAGCTTCAGAAACAAAAGCAAGGAAGTTTTCAGTGTAATTTATTTTTGCTCAACACTCTAACTTGTAATATAGATCGTATTTCTCCCCCTCTGTGAACTGTGAACCTCCTCATTACCTTCATAAGTCCGTCTGAAAAGGAAAGTGGGACTGCTGGAGTCAAATGTGCTGGTGGTGCTGTCACCGTCACCGGGGCACCAGACTGGACAGGGTGGTGTTGTGTCAACATCTGAACCTGTGGATATGGCCGAACCACCACTGGTTCCTGCTTTTCTTCTCGAGGTTGTATAGAGCTGCCAGGTCCGATGTGCTCTCTAGGAGCAACTTCTGAGTCGCGACTTGATTCATCACTCACTAGCGAAAAGAAGAAAAAGGAAACTCAGAGGAAAGAGGTAAAAAAGGTTAACAAGTTCACACCGGTCACCTACCAGCTCAGAGATGTGATGTCATAAGCAGCCTAAATAACAGAAATTCACCTTTACAATGAAACATATTCCAATGAAGAAAACCCCAGGAGCTCTGGCACCGCTTCTGCCGGCTCCCCTCAGAACTGACGGGCCTTGTAACACCAGGCAACCTGGGATCATCCCTGAGAAGTCCACCTAAACCTTTTCTTCAAAGATTGACTAATTTTTCTTTCAAGTGAAAAATACGTCATTATCAAAGTAACTGCCATAACATCTCCCATCAAACAGGCAGTATTAAGAATTCTTCATTTAATGCATTATGCATCTGAATATCAAGCTCAAACCCAACTATAAACCCTCCTGAAAATGAGCTGCTCCTCCTCAAGCGCCTCTGGTAGCCTGCTGGAAACCTGCAACCTGGGCAGGGAGAGCAGGAACTGGAACCAAGGCCCCGCCCCATGCGAAGCGACATCGCTCATCGCTTCTGCCAAGAACAGGCAGAGGAGCTGGGGGCGCTGGGGGCGCGGGCAGCCGAGCAACCGCGCTTAGAACGAGCACAGAACGACTCTGCCCTGACGCCGCTTTTCAGAGCCAGCGACCGAACCGATTCTGACGTTGCTCTTCCCGTTCCAGACAGAGGCAGCTCTCGGGCCGCCCCGCTCCTCCCGCCCAGCGCCCCGCGCGACCCGGGCCCCACCCCC